TTACACGTCTTATCCATTCACTGTCTCCTCTTGCCTGCTGACCGATTAGGTGGCTGCCATCATGAACCGCGTTGTTTCTTCCCCTTACTACTCCCCACAATCGACCATTTGCTCTTTCATTCCTTTTTTGCTGTTGCTGCTGCTCCCTCTAGTTGCCCATTCCGCTACGCCAGGTAATCTCTCCTACTCTTTTATTCAGCTGCTTTTACCTCCTTTTCCCGTTTCCCTTCCCTTTCCTCGTCTGACCCACCGTCTGGCCGCCGGTTTGCTGTTTGCATCTTCTTTTTCGTGCGACTGTTGTCCATTACACCTCAGACCAAATAAATCTTTTTGTTTAGATGTACTCCACCATAGGTTTCGTCTGCACTGCCCCTCTCCCCTTTGAATTTTTTATTGAATCGGTGCCTATTTCCCTTTTGCTTTTTCTGATAATTTCCCCCCAAATGCCTTTTGAATGCTTCTGTTGCACTATTTTCTTGCCTTTCTTTTACCAAAAAATTGCTTATTGTTGCTTCTTCCTTTGTACAGCTGTTTCTCAATCTTTCATATGGTTTCTTTTGCACATCTTTTTTAATTTTCACCTCCTTTTACTTATGCACGCCCGTTTCAGCTGGTTCCTCTAGCTTGTTTCCCTGGTTTTCTCTGTCTATTACTTCAGGTAATTCCCTTTCTACTTGCTTTCGCATCAGTCTATTGTGTTTTTTCTACTCTTGTTGTTGTTGTTATTGGTTCCTCCTCTCCCCCCTCTCACCTACTGCTTTGCTTGTTCGGTTGGATTACATACTGTGTTTGCTTCCTTTTTGCGCACTTAACTTACAATGTGTATTCTTTTGATCCCTTGTGTGCGACTTTATACTGCCTTTTGCCTATTTTCTTGCGAACAAATGCCTCCGTGATTCCTATTTTTTATACCTTCGGAATGCACATTAGCCTTCCATGCTCTGAAGGGCAATTTTGCCTTGATGTTGAAATCTAGCGTCTCCGGAGACATCTAGGTTTTAACAAGCTCAGTTGATGTTGGTTTCATTATAATCGTATCTTTCTTTTCTTTTTCGGTAGAGCGTGGCTTCATTCGTGCATAATGTTGTTGATGCAGACCCCCATGGATTATCCGCTGTTTTTACCTTTTCAAGATTCCTGCTTGCCTCATTATTCTTGTTTATCATAGTTCAGCATCCTAGCACAGTACAATAGTTCCATTATATGTCTTTGCCTTCGGTTCTAACTTGTTCTTCAACCCATTAAGCTGTTCAATTGTGACCCTTAACAGATGAGATTGTAATTGAAATTTAATCGGGATTAAGACAGTGCTGAATTTCTCATTTATTATGGTTTTCTTGACTCGCCGCCTTTGCCTTCATACAGTTTTTAAAGTCCGAACATAGGAGACCGTTGTAGAAATGCGTTTCTCTGTTTCCTCCCCCCTCTCTTACTGCTTCGATTGTTCTGTTGAATTACATGCTATGTTTGCTTCCTTTTTACACGCTTAGCTTGTGATGTGTACTCTTCTGATCCTTTGTGTGCGATTTTATATACTGCCTTCTGCGTGTTCCTTGCAAAGAAATACCTTTGTGATTTCTATTTTGATACCTTTCAAATGCATATTATCCAAAGATGGATAAAAATGCTAAGAGACGTAAATGATATGTGGAAATGCCACATAGTCAGAAAGCTGACTTGCTCCGCCGCCGTCGTGAACGGAACGCTGCAAAAAAGAGAGCCACTACTGTGCGTTCTTCTGCTGAAACACCTCGTTTTCAGAGGCCTACCGAGAATAGCCGAGATTATTTTACTACGACTCCATTAGGTTATACTCAAATTGGTGTTCTTTTGGTTGACGATGTGGATAGTTCCCTGCCAACTTCCTCCTCTTTAAATGACAATAGGGAAAATTTGCTGCTTAATCAATCAGAATATGTTGCTTCAGATTCTTGTCTTACGTCAACCTGCATTCCGCCACTGCTTTCTCAAGGTATACTTATGCTTTGCTTGGCCATCAATTTGATGCGACCTTTTCCGTGGCTCTTTCTATATCATCTATTTATATTTAATTTGTTTTTCGAACCTTTTGAGAACTCGTTTGCTTTATCTCCTGTTTTGCCCTATCAGGATTATCTTGTATAGCATACAAATGCGTGTGCCTTTTTATTCCATGCCTTCCACCCATCTGTACTCCGTACCGGTCCCCATTTTCAAAATCCTCTTTGTGCCATTTGAGAATTTACCTGTTTTTCACTATCAGCAGAAACCTTTTGTATTGTCAACTGTCAAGAAAATGGATTTTGTATTTGCATAGGTGTCAACTCTGTTTTATTCTATATCGTGACTAACCCTTCAACCTTGTCACTTTTTTAAAAAACCCTAGCTGTTCAGCGTTAGAAAGGAACCACCTGCCTCCTCCTGCTAATAATCATTCCCATTAGCCATATATGTATACTCCTATCATATTTTTCGGATCTTTCCAGGAAGGAATCTTCGGCATGTGCCTTCCAGATTAGCTCGCCTAGACAATATTTCGGCTCAGTTTGTTATTCTTCCTGCTACTCTAGATTGTGAGCATTTTTCGGCTCAGTTTGTTATTCTTCCTGTTACTCCAGATTGTGAGCATTGTGGTGCTAAACGCTTCCCTTCAGAACCTCCTTCCTTTTGTTGCTCCGAGGGTGAAATCTCTGTTGTTGCTCCTGCTATGCCTTATGCTCTTAAGCGCCTGTTCATTGATAATGATGAGGAATGCGAGCACTTTAGGAAGCACTCCCGTACATATAATAATAATGTGGCATTCACGTCTTATGGTGCTAAATATGATCGTGAATTAACAAAAAATACAAAAAGGGTTTATACCTTTCGAGTCCAAGGCCAGGTCTATCATTTCTTGGTTGGTCTAATATCTCCGTCTGATAAATCGTCGGGAGTTTAGTTATATTTTTTTGACACTGATGAAGAGCTCACAAACAAAGTTCAGAATTCTGATATGCTTTGGCCGGCCACCCTCAAGTTACTGATGACGATTCTGCAGGAAAATCCTTATACAAGATTTTTTAAAGATCTTAGGGATGTTCCGGCCCTTGAGACCCATACTATAGCTCTTAAGTGCTATCCTGGCCTAGATCAGCGTGTCTTTAATTTTTCTACTGCCTCTCAAGTGGCTGCTATATGGACCGAGCCAAATGATGAGTTAGTTGAGAAGAGCCCCCATATTCAGGTTTATAGCCATTCAAGCGCAAGTTATAGAGTCCAATCATATTATGCGTGTTACGATCCGCTTCAATATCCTCTTTTGTTCCCTAAAGGTGAATCTGGTTGGTATCGTGGGATCAAGAGGGTATACTCAAAACGGAAGAAACCAGATACTTATGACCCGGAAGTTCATGTTGATTTCTCTTCTGCCCAGAATCCTTCAGACTTATTCAGCCTTAAAGATATAGGCATGTCTATTTCTTATATTTATACACTCTTTCTGCTGTAATGCTCTATATATTTGCTCATAATATATCTCTCTTTTTCCCCTTTTAGCTGCTCGGCAAAAAACCTCTCACGATTATACTGTGTCTGCTAGGGAGTACTATTGTTATCGGCTGCAAATAAGAGACAATGATGATTCTATGTTACTTCATAGCCTGACATTATTTCAGCAATTTGTTGTTGGTACATATATAAAAATTGAAACATCTAGACTGGATTTTCATAGGAAGCGGCAAACTGAAATTAGAACAGAGATCCTTCAGAGGGTTATAGACAGTGTTGCAATAGGCTAAACGCATGGGTCTAGAGTTGGCCGCCGAATAGTATTGCCAGCTTCATTTATTGGTGGCCTGAGGGATATGAAGAGAAGATATCTTGATGCAATGACCTTGGTTCAGAGGTACGACAAGCCTGACATATTTCTTACCATGACTTGCAATCCGATGTGAAAAGAAATTCAGCAGAATCTTCAATACCATGAAAAACCATAGGATAGGCCTGATTTGCTGGCTAGAGTTTTAGAGCTAAGTTTGAAATGTTAAAGGTCGAGCTTCTTAAGAAACAGATTTTTGGAGAGGTTGCAGCCTGTGTTTATGTTATTGAATTCCAAAAATGAGGTTTTCAACATGCTCATTTGTTGCTTATTCTTAAATCTGGCTCCAAACTATTGAATCCTGAATTATACGACATAATTGTTTGTGCTGAAATACCGAACCCTGAAAAAAATAGGCATTTATGTTCCCTAGTAATTAAGCATATGATTCATGGCCCGTGTGGTGATAAGAATAAGCAGAGCCCGTGCATGAGAGGTGGTAGGTGCAAAAATAATTATCCTAAGAATTTTTCACCTTATACAGGTCATGGTGAGGACAGCTATGCATGTTATAGAAAAAGAGATGATGGCCAGAAAATAAGGGTGCGCAAGCATGAGCTCGACAACCAATGGGTGATACCTTACAACCCATACTTATTAGCTTTATTTGATTGCCACATCAATGTTGAAATCTGCTCCACTGTTAAGCGTGTTAAGTACCTTTATAAATATATTTTTAAAGGTCATGATCTTATCAGCTTTAATCTTCTTGATCAAGAATCTGTTGGTAACACTGATGAAATTAATCGCATCCAAAAAGGACGTTGGGTTTCGCCTCCAGAAGCTTTGTGGCGCATATACGAATTTCACCTAGCAGAAATGAACCCAGCAGTTTATACCCTGCAAGTTCATCTTCCCGACCAACAATTTGTTTCTTTTGGTAAAAGTTCAGATTTGTGGTATCTTTTGAGGAAAATAGATTTTTCAAAGACAATGCTGACTGAGTTTTTCAAAATGAACAAAATCAATGCTACAGCTCAGAGTTTATATAAAGATTTTCCTCAGCATTTTGTATGGACGGCAAAAAACAAAGACATGGTTAGAGAGGAGTCGTCGAACGGTCATAGGGAGACTAGTTATTGTTGAGCCTAAGGAAGGAGAAAAATACTACCTAAGGCTTTTACTCACTCATATTCTGGAACCAACGTCATTTGATGACTTACTTATGGTTAGAGGTCATAAAACCGCTTCTTTTAGAGAAGTCTGTTTGCAGTTAGGCTTACTTGAATCTGATTCCTATATAGAAAAGGCATTAGAGGAAACTGCTCATTTCCAGATGCCTTATTTGTTAAGGTCTTTATTCGCAATGCTTCTATTCTATTACTCTCCACAAAATCCCAAACATCTTTGGCAATCATTTGAAGAGCATCTATCTTCTAATTACAAACGAAATTTAGCACATCGTCACTGCACACCGCTAGAGATTAAAAGAAAAGTTCTTCTGGATATTAATCTAACATTGGAGAACATGAGAAAAAACCTTGATGATTATCATTTCCTTGAATATTCCTTTACATCCTGTCACGGTGGCCAGCTGACCAAAGAAATTCAAAGTGAAATAGCCATACCTATTGCTCCAGAAGATCTGCTTCTTCCTCAAAAATTGAATTCTAGGCAGAGATATGCATTTGATTTAATTCTGGATTCAATATCCAGCTCAAAAGGTCAAGCTTTCTTTGTAGATGATCCAGGTGGAACGGGTAAAACTTTCTTATATCGCGCGCTTCTCGCTTCTCTTCGCTCACAAGGATATGTGGCAATTGCAGTTGCCACATCTGGTGTCGCGGCGTCACTCCTTCCTGGTGGTAGAACCGTACATTCACGGTTTAAGATTCCTTTGGATTTTTCAAAACAAAAAACTTGTCAATTAAGCAAGCAGAGCAGTGTTGCAAGGCTCATTGTTGATGCTAAATTAATTTTGTGGGATGAGGCTTCAATGGCAAAAAAGGAAGCAATAGAGGCGTTTCATTGTCTTCTTATAGATATAATAGAATCTGATCTGCCCTTTGAAGGAAAAACTATTGTTTTTGGCGACGATTTTCTCCAAACCCTGCCAGTTATTGAACATCTACCTACAGCAGATTTGGTTCAATCAACTCTTTTATATTCGCATTTATGGTCTCATATGTGTAAGTTACAACTAGGAACGAATATGAGAGCTGCCTTAGATCCAGGTTTTCAGCTTTTTGCTTAGAGTAGGAGAAGGTGTTGAACCTGTTGATGAACATGGTCAGATATGTCTACCACCTCATATGGTTATTCCTTATCATGACAAATAAGAATCGCTTGACAGGTTATAATTCTATAGTGTATTATTAGTACTTCATTCTGTCCAAGTATTTTGATTGCTTCCTCTAATTACATATAAAATCTTCCAGGTTACTTGGGATCGTATTTTCTGATCTAAATCTGTACTCATGTGATCCTTATCAAATGATAAATAGATGTGTCCTTTGTCCAAAAAATAGTTCAGTTGATGAAATTAATGAAATGATCATTGCAAAATTTCCTGGAAGCCTTCACAGATATATAAGCTGTGATAGAACTATTGATAGGAGATACCAAGCAGATTATCAAGACTTTTTGAATTCTTTGAACCCAAAAGATCTGCCTCCTCATGAACTTTTGCTCAAAGAAAACTGTCCTATAATGCTTCTAAGAAATGTGAATCCAACGGACGGCCTTTGCAATGGTACCCGATTAATCTGTAGAGAATTGGCTGAACACACAATTTCTGCCGAAATTGTCTCTGGTCCTCATAAAGGGAAAAAGGTCTTCATCCCAAAAATTCCTTTGCAGACATCTGATAGTGAAAAAAATGGTATTCCATTCATACGGATACAGTTTCCTGTCCGTTTATGCTTCGCAATGACAATCAATAAATCTCAGGGTCAGACTCTTGACTATGTTGGAATTTACTTCCGTGAACCAGTCTTTTCTCATGGCCAGCTTTATGTTGCTCTCTCCAAAGCTAGAAATTCTTCCGCAGTTAAAGTTTTAATTGCTCTGGGTACTTCTGACGACGTCAAAGTTGATTGTAAAACAAGGAATGTTGTCTTTCACGATATCTTTCGATTCACTAACATATGATATATGAGGTCTGATCAGTCATACCATTGATTATTTATTAGTTTATCGTTCAGAAAATCACATCCTCTTGCTAATTTCCCAGTGCATTTTTGTTTTTTCAAAAAAAAATGTAGGATGCAAGACGTTATCACAGTCAAAAACATCCTGCCTGGCTCTGAAGGTTGGACTTGCAAAGTCATTGTGCAGGAGAAGCAGTAGATAACTGGATCAGCAATGACACCGACCAAAAAACAAAAGTTTATTTTGCTGGATTCAGAGGTCTTCTCTCTGCTGCCATTCATATATACTTCTTCATACTATGTGGTTAAACATTTCATTGTTAAAATAGCACATTAATCTACTCCTTAAATTTCCCTTATCATTAGGCCATCTTGTGTTTTTATCAACAGTTCAGTGCATGCATAGCTGCTTACTTTGTGAATATTTTGTATGTGCTTAGGGATCGCAGGTAGAGGGAATTATATTCAATAATGACATCCCAAAGATCAGCCCTTGCCTTCAGCTTTATAAAAAGTATCTCATTTCAAATGCCATTATAAGGCTGATTCCAGAAAAATATCAAACTTCCGACCTGATAATACTATGGGTTATCACCAGCCGAACAGTTATCGAACCAGCCAATAATGATGATGATATACTCACTGTAAAGTTTGCGTGTACAAAATTCAGTGATCTTGTGAGCTTTATGGATGACAAAGAAAAATCAGTTGGTAAGCTTCAACATTGTAATTTTCCCATTTGCTCACCAGTTATGTTCATTTTTCCTCATTGCTATTGTATTATTCTGCACCAGATGTTCTTGATGTAGTAGTTAAAGCACTGGATGTCAAACATATCAACAGAAATGGAAAAGATTCAGTCGTTCAAAAATTCGTCATTGTTAACAAAGAGTAAGTTTTTCCTTACAGATTTCATGCTTATTATATCATAACTTTCATTTTCCTACTTTTTCGAAATTTGATCTTTTCCCTGTATTAGTGCACAGACTGTTGTCTTGTCATTGTGGGATGATTTTGTAACTAACAAAGGCTATTAGATGACACATAACATCCAGAATCAACCTGTTGTTGTGTGTCGTAGGTTAAAAGTTAGCTTTTACAATGGTATGCTGTTTAACATTTGTATAGTATGTCTCTTATATTTAAAAACTCAGTGTTTACTCTCCATATATCTTCTTGTTTTTAATTTTCCCCTGACAACTGGCCATGTTTTCCTCCAGGAGTCGCACTATCTACCTGGTTTGACTCAGCAATTCTTATTGATCCACTTATAGAAGAAACTGGAAACCTAAAGAAATGGTTATTAATTACTCTTTTTGTTTTGTCTCTGTCTTAGACATGCTCATCGTATCCACTTGTAATTATTAATAAGTTCCTTTCCTTTTACACAGGGCTAGGAAAAATGCTCAGCTCCTTAATGACCTTGTTATTGACGCAGCTTACATGAAGTACAATCCTGATATGGCTCTTAAACCAGATCAAAAGATAACTAAGATTATCCTTTTGAAACCTACACAAAAGGTAGGACTTTTCTGCATTATACAATTTACTGACATTTTCACATGCATTTACCAAAACTGCCTCTTTACTCTCTTCCATTACTATTTTTATGCCAGAGCTCTTGGGTCAAAGTGTCTTTCTCATTTGAGCACATCTTCCAGAAATTCTGGTATATGGGATGCAAAAAATGCTTCCATTCTACAGCAGCTCCACGTGGAGTGATTTTTACATGCAATTCGTGCAAAGAAAGACATCCAGCTGAACCAAGGTCTTTGGTTATACGCTCCATTACTTTTTCCCCCCCTTTTTTTTTATCTCCCCACTTTTTCATGCTAAAATTTCTTCTTGCTCGTTCTTCCTCTTGTTTTTGTATTTCTTTTGCTTAGCTTTTATTAATATATACAAATGTCGCTTCGACATTGATTTGACTGATACAACAGGCACGGTCACTGCTTCCATTTTTGGTGAATTAGCAGAAAATTTGCTTACTTTCACCGGATTGGAAGCAATAGACCACTTCACTCAGGTTGACATCTGCATATACAATACTGTGTATATATTTACATATTTTCCCTTCATGTCCTTTTCTATACTCGTAATTCTGATGCTCTATTTCGTCTGAATTTTAACTACCAGAACATTGAACTTTCCTTGGAAAAAAGTCAAGCTAAGCTAAAACAGAAGCTTTTTCTGGCTCATATTAGACCTGTTCAGTCTTAGCTGGCCGATGCAAAGCAGCGTTATACAATTATATATTATTGTGAAACTACTGATCAGCTGGAATCTCAGTTGTTGGATATCCAAGAAATTCCTGATCATGTTTTAACCTATAATGAAGCTGCAAACAGTGCTTCAATTGCTTCAGGTCGTATTTTTACATTTGTGCATTCCACCTTTCGCATTACATATCACAGCTCATTATAATCTAAATAATCCATGTTGCCTTTTTTTTGTATAGCAGTAAATGATGCTTCTTCTTCAAGAGTTAAATCATGCCTTGCTAAAAGATTTGAAGAGTCAGAAGGAGATTGTTCATCTGCATCACCACTTGAAGATGCCAGTTCGCCTAAAAGAGGAAAATTATCTTAGAGCTGCATGCTCACTGCCCCATCAATCCTGCTGCCTTATTATTTTGTTCACCATCCCTGATGAACAATTCTACTTGTTTTGTGTTACCATGGAGATAAACTTGTCTTGTCCCTCTGCTTTTGTCAAACTTGTCTTGTGTGAGGACCTGAAAAATTTCTTATTTTTATCGAATATTAATGGTTTAATTAAGTATTTATCTACCTGTTTTCCCCAAATAATTGATTACGACCATTTTAAATCCATTCGTATGGAATAATGTCTTCATTATGCTTTTGAAACGTCCCGTTAACAACTTCAATTTTTGGAGGATTGTTTAGGTGAGAAATAATGAACACGAGTGTTTCAAAGTGATATTATATTCGAGAGTATGATTATCCTGGGGAAATTAAGAACGGACAATAGCAGATTAAGAAAAGTTAATCGAGAATTAAAGGTGAATAAGTTCTAAGTAAGCATATACTACTCACGCGTGGATAGTTTTCCAAAATACGCATGGATACAAATTTATTGGAGATTTGAGGAGTTAATACTCGACTCATGTGAGGACTCGTAAAACTCCTATTAAAACCCTATTTTGAGCTTATTTAATTATTTACTTGTTCATTTATTTCGAGTATTATTTTCTAGACCTATTGAACCTAATTACGTGGAAATATAGCTTCATTATATTTTTAAAGTGATTTGTTTCAAAAATTAATTTCTGGGGGCGCGTTTAGTGAGAACAGTGAATAGTGCTTGGAAATTTTACCCGATTGAGAGTACAATAGGCTTGGAATATTAAAGACTTATACAATGGACCTAAATTAGGTATTTTAACGATTAAATACTTAAGTGATAGTTATTAGTATTATCGTTATAAGGATTTTTTTGGAGGTTTCGCGTTATTGCGCCTAAATTGGAAATACGCGTTTTCACGCGCGCGATTAATTGAGGGACTTTAGACCATTATTTTGGGATAATTAAGAGTGAATAATATTTATATGAATATAAGTGCATTAGAGGTTTAGTGCACTAGTGAAATAAACTCGAAAGAAATCGAGCCCAAAATGCGCGCGTACGCGCGCGAGGGAGAGTTGACTTTCGGCGAATTGTGGCCACACATTTTAAGCTTACTTTAGAAGCTTTATTTCAGCATATCACACGCCTCTTTCCCTCTCATTTTGGCCGAACCATCAGCTGCAACAAAACAACTCCAAGTTTTGCAGATTTCATCTGCAAATCTTGCTCAAACCTTCACCAAATTCAACCAAAATTTAACTACACTTAGCTCAACACTTGGGAAGTTCATTTAACTACAACAAAGAGGAGCTTTCCATGGTTTTTCTGAGCTGAGAAAAGGGCCAAAATTCTGCTAAGTTCATCAACCAAAGTAGGTAATGATCCACTCTCAAATTCTTGTCCTATGGAAGTTAATTTACACTTATGAGCTTGAATATTCATATGGGTGGTTGTTATTGTTGGAAAATTTGGAAGGTGGGCTCTATGAACTCCCACCCTTTGTCTTGATGGCTTCTGT